AGTTCCTTTTAACTTTCGCTTTCCCAATAATTTTGACTAATTCTTTTTTGTTCCCCTTGTTTACTACATTATTTCATTATGATATTATTAATTTTATTATGAGATTGATTTTATTTTATTTTTTGTTAATTAGAGACCGATATATACTAATACAGTATTAAATTTCAATAGTATAAACAAACTTAATTAGTAAAATTAATCAGACCCATTTCGTCAAATCTATTGAAATAATTTTTCTTAATTAGGTAACTCTTATGGACAATGGAAAGAGACAGAGAGAGGTTCCAAGAAGGCCAAGACAAGCTGACATAATATGTAGCGGAGGCAGTGGTCAATGTTAATTGTGAATTAGTCAAATTAGTCAATTAATGTCCACCATTTAGCTTTAAAATAAGAATTATTTTTGAAGTTAATTTGAAGTGTAAAACTTGATTATCCACCACCATACTTCATTGCCTTGCCTGCCATTTTCTTCACGCACAAAGGTTGAAAAATTTGGGTATCTTATCTTCATCTTCCTCCAAACCCTTATATTACTTGTATTAACTTCTTTTTCTCTAACTAGTTCATATATATTCATCTTCAAGCTTCGTAAATACGTCACATCCATTACATCAGTTGTAGATATTTGCATCAAGAAATTGAAATTAATTCATCCCTTAGGGTTTAATTAATAAGATGACTAAGAGAGCAAGAAGCTTTATGTATACTCTACATTAATTGCTTGAAAAACTGTCTGATTAGTTGTACAAGAAAACATTCAATTGGATAAGTAACGATTTAATTGCTAAATCTCTTAAAGAAACATGATTATAAGTAAAGTTTTAATTAGTTTCAGCGTAAATTAGAAGAGGGGACTTCAAGGAGGCATAAAAGAAGAGGTCCATCAATGGACAACATCAATACTAGTCTAATGATGTGAGAGATAAACGATCACCATGGACAATGGTGTTTGTAATTTATATTAAATTTAAGTCTTAACAGAAGATTAGATATTGGTCCACTCTACCTATTACCCGTAAATGGGGTTTATCAAGACCATATGATTATTTAATTAAAACATAGATACGATAAACAAGTAACCGTATGAATTGAATGATTGGTACATCATGTATCTAATTGTCAAGGCAACTAAAAGCTTCACCAACACAAATTAAAAATTTTATTAATATTGAATCATTCACAAGATTAATCTTATCTCTAACCCAAAGTTAAATTTATTGTTAAAAAATTAATTCGTAAGAACAAAAGAATGGTGTTTTCAAAAAGCTTTCTCCTTTATTTATTTGTCAATTGCTTTTGCTTACTTTATCAGCACATTGGGCAACAATTTCTTTGGCCTAATTAATGGAGAAACCCCTTGGTCTTGGAAGCTTGTGCTATAAATCATGATTATTAAGACAATAAAAAGCCAGTTAAATCATTATTAATTTGTTTTAATCATACTGATTAAATTAATTAAATATATAGCATGTGTCGTGATAATACTTTTTCATGCTTTAATTTTCCTTTTAATCATTTTATTCATTGACATTGCTGCTGCTGCCCATGAATCATCGAGTTAGCCATTCACAATAGGTCATTTATATGTGTACTAAAGATGATTGAAATCATAAATTTTCGAATGAAATATTGCTGCAGGGAGACAATTGAAAATTATTCATAAAAGTTGTGTTTTAAATTATTAATTTTCTCTCATTGGTTGATTAAAAGCATACACTTAATGCATACACGTCATAAGGTGACCAAGGTTATTTGATTAGAGAAAACTTACCATAGGTTAATTATATGAGAAAATGTGTACTCGAGGATACATATTCTATAGTGTATATATATATATATATATAGGTAAGACTACAAGCTATGAAAAGCTAACAAAAATGGCCCCTTGACAAAGATCAAAGAAGAAATAAAAAAAATTAGGTCAAACATACAAGGTTTAAATTCCTTTACCTTCTAATGTTACTAAGGTTGGTAGCCATCAAAGTATGACTCCTAGATGATGACCCAAGGGCAACATATTTACATGTACAAGCAAAAGATCGATCCAAACAAAGAGAAAAGATAATATTTGTATTGTATTATACTTTTAAGACATACTTCCAAGTCTTTGTAAAAGGAATATTGCATAAAAGGTTCCTTTTCATACAATTAATTTTCTGATAAATCCTGCTATCCCCAAAGTTTAATTTAAAATTAAAGCTTCAAGTTTATGATTTCTTAAGAGCTTAATTATTCTTTTCCTTGGAAATTAAGCATTCATAAACATGTCAAGTATTGACAGAGAGAGAGAAAACTAGCAAATAAATTGAATTACACACTTCAAAATATCAATAGTACTGTGAGAGTGAGATAGATTTAACACGGCAACTTGAGAAAACTACAGCTCTATCTCCATATATAGAGTGATTAGGAGGAATTAATTAATTAATTAATATATAATTAAGTTTCTTTAATCATAATCATGACCCTTCCTCGTATTCTAATTGAAAATGAAAATGCAATCATTTGCTCTCCAAACAAGCAGCTCATTTTTCTCATGTTTCGATATCAGTATTTTTCATCACTCTACTCTATGATTAAATTAATTAATGCCTCTTCCATGGCCATGACACCCATTATTGTGTCATATATTGTCAGCTCAAAACTCTAAAGTACATGCACATGAGACAATATGTTCATACTGTTACAATTACATCGTAGGGTATACTTCGTTATATATATTAATTCCCTTGATGACTTGATAGAACTGTACTTCTTTTCATGAAAACAAAATCTATAATAATCTTTGTGTATAAAACTAATGCCCACCAAAGCACTCAATTAGACCTTGTGGTCCTCCTCACTATGAGTGAACCCGACGTTAAATTTCCAGCACATTTCTCAAATGGAATGGCCTTTGTCACCAATTAATATGGGGTCCTCTATGAATTCAAGTTCCTTTAGTGCCTAGAATTATTTATATTATCAGATTTGTAGAAGTTAAATTGTAGTAATAATTAAAGTACTATAGTTTGTTTTTGTCGTAATCTTTTGTTTTTTAGTTGGGACAATAATAGCTCAAAGTCTGCAAATAACAGCACATTGTTGGTTTACACAATCAAGTGAAGTGAAGTACATATGTATAGAAATATAAGTGAGGCATTCAAATTTAAGAGTTGTTATAAGTAACCCCTCTCACACTCAAATTGACAAAACGTTTCTCATTTGTGTGAATTTATATTATATTTGGGGAGTGGGACCTTGAGTCACCATGAGGGGATCTTTGCTTCTAGGGAAATATGGTTTGAAAGATTGGCCAAAATTTCTATTAAAACAAAACATCTAATCACACTACAATTGGCTTAACATCATGCTAAATGTGTTGCCACTTGGCCTATATTACTCAGATTTCCATGCATTTCAGTTACCTGAGTCCCCACTTTCATTTCTTGATGCTTCTAATTNATATATATATATAGGTAAGACTACAAGCTATGAAAAGCTAACAAAAATGGCCCCTTGACAAAGATCAAAGAAGAAATAAAAAAAATGAGGTCAAACATACAAGGTTTAAATTCCTTTACCTTCTAATGTTACTCAGGTTGGTAGCCCTCAAAGTATGATGACCCAAGGGCAACATATTTACATGTACAAGCAAAAGATCGATCCAAACAAAGAGAAAAGATAATATTTGTATTGTTTTATACTTTTAAGACGTATTTCCAAGTCTTTGTGTAAGGAATATTGCATAACAGGTTCCTTTTCATACAATTAATTTTCTGATAAATCCTGCTATCCCCAAAGTTTAATTTAAAATTAAAGCTTCAAGTTTATGATTTCTTCTTTTCCTTGGAAATTAAGCATTCATAAACATGTCAAGTATTGACAGAGAGAGAGAAAACTAGCTTGAATTACACACTTCAAAATATCAATAGTACTGTGAGAGTGAGATAGATTTAACACGGCAACTTGAGAAAACTACAGCTCTATCTCCATATATAGAGTGATTAGAAGGAAATAAATAAATTAATATATAATTAAGTTTCTTTAATCATAATCATGACCCTTCCTCGTATTCTAATTGAAAATGAAAATGCAATCATTTGCTCTTCAAACAAGCAGCTCATTTTTCTCATGTTTCGATATCAGTATTTTTCATCACTCTACTCTATGATTAAATTAATTAATGCCTCTTCCATGGCCATGACACCCATTATTGTGTCATATATTGTCAGCTCAAAACTCTAAAGTACATGTACATGAGACAATATGTTCATACTGTTACAATACAATTACATCATATATTGGGTATACTTCGTTATATATATTAATTCCCTTGATGACTTGATGGATCTGTACTTCTTTTCTTGAAAACAAAATCTATAATAATTTTTGTGTATAAAATTAATGCCCACCAAAGCACTCAATTAGACCTTGTGGTCCTCCTCACTATGAGTGAACCCGAAGTTAAATTTCCAGCACATTTCTCAAATGGAATGGCCTTTGTCACCAATTAATATGGGGTCCTCTATGAATTATTAGTCCTTTGGTGCCTTATATTATCGGATTTGTAAAAGTTAAATTGTAGTATTAATTAAAGTATAGTTTGTTTTTGTCGTAATCTTTTGTTTTTTAGTTGGGACAATAATAGTTCAAAGTCTGCAAATAACAGCACATTGTTGGTTTACACAATCAAGTGAAGTGAAGTGCATATATATAGAAATATAAGGGAGGCATGCAAATTTAAGAGTTGTTATAAGTAACCCCTCTCACACTCAAATTGACAAAACGTTTCTCATTTGTGAGAATTTATATTATATTTGGGGAGTGGGACCTTGAGTCACCATGAGGGGATCTTTGCTTCTAGGGAAATATGGTTTGAAAGATTGGCCAAAATTTCTATTAAAACAAAACATCTAATCACACTACAATTGGCTTAACATCATGTTAAATGTGTTGCCACTTGGCCTATATTACTCAGATTTCCATGCATTTCAGTTGCCTGAGTCCCCTCTTTTATTTCTTGATGCTTTTAATTTGATACCCTTCAACATTTCATTTCATATATTTATTTGAATAATCGCCCACCTCATGAGGTAGCTAGCGCTTTCAGCGTTTAAAACAGTGAAACCAGTCAGTTGGAAGAGTGAATTAAAGTTAGGTTTATTTATACGGATGAGCTGAGTCAAAGTTTATTGTTGATATAAATTAAGGGGAGGGGGAGGGAGCAGCACGGAAATTAACTACTGAGAATATGGGTCACAGGTGCTGCAGCAAACAGAAAGTGAAGAAGGGATTGTGGTCGCCTGAAGAAGATGAAAAGCTCCTTAAACACATCACTACTCATGCCCATGGCAGCTGGAGTTCTGTTCCAAAACTTGCTGGTATGATATATAGCAAGCTTCTCTCTCTCTCCTTTCCCCCTGAAAGTATTTGATATATAGTTGGTGGGTATATTAATCGATGAACTGCGTGCAGGTTTGCAAAGGTGCGGAAAGAGTTGCAGATTGAGATGGATAAACTACCTGAGACCAGACCTCAGGAGAGGTTCCTTTTCTGAAGAAGAAGAACAGATAATCATTGATTGCCACAGAATTTTAGGCAACAGGTAAACCCAATTCAATTTCACCACAAAAAAAGAATATTAATATATTAACTTACAAAAGTACATGAACATTACAGTCAATTGATATTAAAAAGCAAAATTTTAGTAAAATTTTTATTTCTGTATTAATTTATATATATATACCAATACGATACATTAGCTTATATTTTACTATTGCATGGTTTTGACAGATGGGCCCAGATAGCTAAGCATTTGCCAGGAAGAACAGACAATGAAGTGAAGAATTACTGGAATTCATGCATTAAGAAGAAGTTGATCTCACAAGGTTTGGACCCAAGGACTCACAATTTGATCCCTTCTCATCAAAGAGCTTCTAAAAAGCTTTCACGCAACATCTCACAAACCTCCTTTGATCCATCCATTCCGGCTTTCACAGTCAATAATGGACAAATGACGCCAATTAATAACAATGTGCAGATGGAGATTCGACCTCCAATTCTAACGTTACCTTCGCCTTCACCTCCTCTTCAAAATGCTCCACTGCTTCAACCAATAATGGCGCCCTCACCAACACCAACACCAACACCAACCTCTCAATATCAAATTCAAAAACCTAATGTTTGGACTGCAAATTGTGGTCAAAATTCTCATGACTCCATCACTAATACTACTACTTTCCCTAGTGTCTCCTCCATTGAGAGCCGACCCATTTCTTCTTCCACAACTTCTTCAGTGAACCCATCAGGATTTGGTCTCTTAGATGAGAGTTATTATTCCATCTGGGGTAACAATACAATGGTTGAACCCTATAGAGTACCAAGCGTGGAAGGACTGCAACTTCAAGAACAAGAACAAGAACTTCAAGAGAAGGAGAAGATGAACGATAATATCTATGAAGCAAACAACAGTGTTCATCAGGACATAGATTGTTCATTTGACAGCTCTAGTTTTGACCTTGAATTTGTGGAATCGACATTCATGTCTGGTGCAATGTGTCGTGATCTAAGCTCAATCTCCATTGATGATTTTGCATGGAACTTTTAATAAATACGTTAATTTGTATTACAATTAAATTAGTATTTCTTTAATTAATTGCTCATCAGTTGTAATTTTTAATTTTCTATCTCTTTTTTTGTTGTACTTTTTGCTGGGTGGTCTAATTAATTTAAGGTTGTACAAATTACTTATTTACATGGAAAACTTTTGTTGCTAACAAGATGATGATTTGAAAACGAGAGATCCCAAAAGTTTTAGAAAGCTAATAAAATTATGAAATTGGTGATTCCTTTGTGTCGGGATAAATTGAGATGTAATCAAGAACGACTCCCATTCATACGTATAACTAAATGAATTGACCAAATTCATTATATAATAAATAAATATTCTCATATATAACCCAATCTTAATTTCCAAAATGTCAAGGTTTTGTTTAAAGGATAGATGAAACCATCAAATCACATGATTTAACCTATCCTTAATAAAAATAATAAGAACAAAAATAATCAAGGGTGCGTTTGGCTTATTATTTCTGTCTATATTCCCAATCTTATTTTCCAAATAATGTTTGGCACATTATTCTACAAATATTAGCCTATTTTTTTAATTAATTTTAAACCCTATAAGGTTATTAATTTTATTAAATACCCCCTGAAAAAAAGTTTAAAAATTAACAAAAATACCTCCGCGACCCATACTTGCCAAATTTCGGCAGCCACTGTCGGTGGTAGCCGTAATCTGCCATAACGGTGACCGATCTGGCCGTTAGTGATGGCCAAAGAAATGGCCGTCGTTGACGATCAACGACGGACCGACAACGACGACCATATATGGCCGTAAATCTGGCCTTTTCTGGTCAGATCTGTGGTGGATCTGGTCGGAAAAGGCCATAGCGACGCCATATCGGCCAAATCCGGTCGGTATGTGTCGTTACGCAATTTTCTGACCAGATTTCGGCGATGGTGGTCGGAATCTGGCACTGCGGGTGGTGGGGGTCTTTTTGTCATTTTACATATTTTTAAATATTGGGGTATTTATTAAATTAGCAAACTTAGGAGGTTTTTTTATAAATTTTTAAATTTTATCTCGTAATACTCCCATATTCAATTATCTAATACTATCCCCAAAATCCTATCCAAAATAATAAACCATACGCACCCCAAAATGCTTTACATTACCAAATCTATCACTATCTCACATACTTTAATCAGACTCTTACACCATAGAGTTAAAAACTGGGGTCCGTTTGGTACAACATTTTCCTATCCTATTCTACCATTCAACCCAAATGAAATGAAATAATTGTTTTTCTATTCAACTCAAAATCCAATCATATTCTATTCAACTCAAAATATTTAACAATTACATTTTTCAATAAAAGTTTTAAAATTAACAAAAACACCCCCACACACCCAAGCCACTATCACCCACCAGCCACCGTCGTCGCTGGACGATGGCATCGTAACGACGCATGACCTTCTGGATCCGACTGAATCATGAGCCAATTTGTCAATTTCTAGCTAAACGATGGTCATATCTTGGCTGTCGTTGACAACCAAATGACGACCAGAAATCTGGCCGTCAACGATGGCCGTCGTTTGGCCATCAACAATGGTCAAGATATGACCATCGTCAACAACCAAGCAGCCAGATCTTTGGCCGTGATCTAGCTGTTTATGGTCAGATTGACCCACGACTGGCCAGATCTAGCCAGCCGTGTGCCATTCTGGTGACTTTTGGCCACCGATCGATGGTGGTGCTCGGCGGCTAGCAATAGCTGGATGGGGTGTTTTTGTTAATTTATGAACTTTTATTGTGGGGGGTGTTTAGTTAAGTTAACAAATATAAAAAGGAATCTAAATATTTTTAGAAAATATTTTCTAAAACACATTCTTAGAATCATATCCTATTTCATTAAATAATATTCTAAAGGAGAATGTTATTCTAAAAAGCCTGTCAAACAGAGCCTAGTAGTCTCTCAATCAAGTATATCTAGTGTTATATATCAGGAGTGTATCATTCGTCGTTTAATTAAGTGTATAATTGATAAGTCAGTAGATTTTACAGCTAGACTTGTCATTTAAATAAAATAAATACAAATAATTAGGGTGCGTTTGGTTCATTATTTTGGATAGGATTTTAGGAATAATATTGGGTAGTTGAATAGGGGAGTATTACGAGGTAAAATTTAAAAATTTATAAAAAAAGCCCCTAGGTTTACTAATTTAATTAAACACCCCAATATATAAAATGAAAAAAACACCCCCACCACCCGCAGTGCCAGATTCCGGCCACCATCGCCAGAATCTGGCCAGAAAATTGCGTTACGACAAAGATCGGCCAAATCTGTGTCGTAATGCGTCGATATGACCTTTTCTGGCTAGATTCACACCACGGATCTGGCCGGAAAAGGCCAGATCTACGGCCAGATCGGTGAATAACTGACCAGTTTTGGTCATGGTGTAAGCCGTAGGGACAGGTCGGTGGTAGCCAGAATCTGGCAAGTATGGGTGGATGGGGGTGTTTTTGCTAATTTTAAACTTTTTTTTCGGGGGTATTTAGTGAAATTAATAAACTTAAGGGGTCTAAAAGCAATTAAAAAATACACTAATATTTCTAGAATAATGTGCCAAACAATATTTGGAAAATAGGATTGAAAATATGGGTATAAATATTGAACCAAACGCACCCTAAGACTCAAGTAGTTTACGAATTCAAATGTATATACATCAATAATAAGAAAGAGACGAGAGAGTCAAATATATATTGACCCATTTGATACGGTTAAAATAAAGACGCAGTCTAATTTAAGCACTCTTTTGAGTAAATGAGTTGATTATTGACATATATTATACGCTAACACGAAGACCAGGTTTAAGATGAAGACAACATTAAGTCTATTTATTCAATTAAGCAGACATATTTTTAACATATACTCCTATATAACAAGTGTGTTACTCTCAAAATAAGTCGTACGTATATATTATAAATAAGTTAATGTCTCTAATTTAATTTAATGAATTGTTTTTCCATGATAGTTACGATAGAACAAGAGAAAATAACAAGAAAGAATGAGGGAGATAGAGTCAAATATTTAATTGACGCATGTAATACGGTTAATACAAAGACATAGTCTAGAATGATTTTTACAAATTTTAAGTTACTCTAGTAAGTAAAAATGAGTTGAATATTGACACATATTATACGCTAACATGAAGACAAGTTGAGACTATTTTATAAATTTTAATTAAATAGACATGTTTTTTTGACAATAAAGTTTTAAAATTATTTAGAATATTGTATTTTAAAAATATTTGGTTGAAGTAATTGAATTATACATTACCACATAATTAAATATATGTAATTTGTTGACATAATGTTGTCTAATATAATGTTAATTTACAAAGTGTTAGTATTGACCTTCTCAACTCAAAATATGAAGTTGTAACTATACATATAAAAGTATTTACAATTATAAATACAATTAGCATATAGTAATTAATTAATTAGTGATTAGTATTTTATGAATGCTGTCCTGAATCAGGGTGGAATGAGACATTACCACTCACCAATATTCACCAATCACCTCTCCCTTTTGTGTTCAATTCCACATCCAAAATTTGGTATTGGTGCTTAATCAATTACATATTTAATTAATTAATCTTTGCCATTAATGATGATGAACATTTTTATGATTTGAAATTAGAACTAAATCAATGTGTTAAGATGTCATTAGAAGCAGCTAATCTCCTCGACATTACATAAAAAATGTCTCTAAATTTAAGGAACTTCACTTTACTATCCAATACTTTGCGTACTTTGCCTTCGAATTTTTTTATTTATTTATTCAAACCAATCAATGATTAAGATGTCTGTTATCCTATATGTTAGAAGTTGTATTTGTCTCACATCACTAATTTGATAACCTTCTTATTTAAGTTAGTTTTTTGGAGTGAGTTCTATCTATTCATCATGGTATCATAATCACGTTTGTTGAGGTAATGATGAGTCTAAGTTTGCACCCTAACCCATGCGCGCCTAGCTCATGAGGAAAGGTGAATGTTAAACAAATACAATTTCTAACACTAGATATGGTTTCAAATGGGATAATTAAATCAACATTAATTAATTGAACTCTCACATTATCTCTTTCACAACTAACATGAAAGAAGCATTAGTTCTAAAAATCTTGTTATACCATGAATATAAGAGTTGAAATTTTCTTTAGAATAATTATAAAAAACCAAACTAACACGTGTCAAATAGAACTTGGTGTTAAACCCATATGGCTTTGCGGCTGGATAATGGGCCGGCCAAGTAAAGGCCCAGAATGCCGAAAGAAAAAAGCCCAAAATCCATCGAAACTTGCATTGTTATTAAAGCATAACCCATTTCTGATTAATTGTTTAAGATGGTGTGATTAGAGCTTAATCCCAATACTGTGTTGTGTTTGCTTCAGCCATAGTTGTTTAAGATGGTAGAAACTATATCAGTCTGTTTTCTGGTGTATGTACATAATATATTAATGGAGTGGCATTTTATATATAAATATAGATTTCGATTACGTACGTGTTATTATGGTGATCTCAAATTGATGACCTTTAAGAACCATCTGTGTTGACTAATGGTTTCTTATGATAATTTTTATTTTTATTTTTATTTTTATTTTATTTTATTATTATTTTTTTTTTTTTACAGTGGCTTCAAATCGAACGGCAGAAACAATACCGTTCCTGGGATTTTATAAAGTTGGTGTTTGATAGCTTTGATGAAATGCGTAATTTCCAGAATTCTGTTAACTAAGCAATTTTCATTGAAAGCTTTGAGGAAAAAAAAGATCGTATTGGCATCTTAACTAAACGTATCCATTGATAGCCGCTGTAGTCTTATTGTAGAATTTTGTGAAAAATATAGAAATTCAATTTTCTTGTAGTGAGATGATTAATAGTCGAATAGAGAAGTACACGGTACAATACAAGATCAAGGCTATATTCGAGTGCTAATAGATGTAGTCATTAGAATTCTTATCCGACATATATATATATATA